AAAACAAATCAAACCTAATTTATATTTTTGATTATGAAAAGTTGATTACTATGCACAATATTTAGCATTATAAAACAGTTTAACATAGTTTTATTCAAACTATGTACAATGTTTTAAATGTTTTATATGACACAACCAAATATTTACTATATATGTGTGTGTCATTAAACCTTCAGCTAAATTTTTTTCCATCTGTATTTTTTATTATCCTATCTGACATTTTACTGAAAAGCTGGTTAGCTTTCATTTCATCTCTTGGGTCAAGCGTGTCCCAATGGTTAGCGTGCCGGACTGTGGATCTGCAGATCCAATGTTCACATTCTATTGCCATAAAAAAGTCATTTTCCGCACTTTGGAGACGTGGGTGCATTACAAGGATGACGATCAAATCCCACTAGTTGGTCATACAAGAGTAGCTCAAGAATTAACGGTGGATACCGTTGACTATCTGCCTTCCATCTAGCCTTTCAATTCAAAATTAAAAACTGACAGCGAAGACAGACTTTGAGAAACTTTGCGTAAGTATACTAAAAAACAAATAAACAAACAATTTCTCTCTCGCTTATGTATTTGTTTTATAAATATATTTAATAATTCACTATCTATATTACTAAAAAAATTTCGTTTCGATAAAGTTAAAATAAAACTTTAGTTATGATATAGTACTCGACTCCAGTTCCATCCTGACAGCCCCCCAGTGGCACAGCGGTATGTATGCGGACTTATACTGCTAGAAACCGGGATTCGATACTCGTGGTGGACAGAGCACAGATAGCTCTTTGGGTAGCTTTGTGCTTAATAATAAAACAACAAACAAACATCCTAACAGCCCCCGCTTGCGACAATTCCACTAATTAACTTTGACATGAAATATTCTACAAAACATCGTTTAACCAAAACCTTTTTAAACAAAAGCCTTACTATAATTGAATATTTTCATATGATCAAATAAAGCTTTATATAAGAATGTTACAAATAATATTGAAAACGATTATTATAAATGTTTGTTTGTTATAGATTTCACGCAAAGCTACACGAGGGCTATCTGCGCTAGCCGTCCCTAATTTAGCA